ATAGTGCTGTCGTGATATCAAAATAAAGAGCTCTGATCCATTTTCTGTGCTCAGAAAATGACAGTTTAACAGGAAGGCACTTTATGTTATTATTTTTTTAAGCGTTCCATTAGCATATCAATTAGCAGTCCAGGCTATCTTAGCTCTACAATAATGATGATTATAATAACTACCATTATTATAATAAATTGAGTAATTTAAATCCTTTCTATTGATCCTATGTTGATTGCATAAACTTACCCATGACAGTCAAATCAATTCCTGCTCATAGTGAGCCTATGGGAGAGAGCAGAATTGTCCATGTAGGGCTTTTAATGTCGTCAACCATGATAGGAGCTGAGGGCTGCATCTTTCTCCTGGGGAGCTGCTGTTGAGTCCTAATGGCTGACCTTTGATTACCTATGAGCACTTAATCCCTGGACCACCAAAGCCCAGTACCTAAGTATAAGCTGCTGGTACCCAGCTATAGTACTAAAGATATTAAGATCTTTTTCTGTGATAAAATTTTCTTCTAGTTTATAATTTCACTATGAATTTTGATTGGGGAAAACGATCCAAAACCCTGTGTGTCTCAAGATTTGTAAAACAATGGATTGCTTTGCCTTTAAAACAAAAATCAGTGGATATGCACATGAAATCCCAGCCCAAGCTTTGGGCATGGAGTAGGAACATGGGATTTGCTGAGGGCTAATGTGAAATAAATGGTCAATTCATGTTGGTTAATTGAATTATTTAAAAATTCTATCCTAGAAGTTAGACCTAATTATTATTTTTACAATTCCTTCATGAATGATGGTAGATCTATCTTCCAAGTGTATATGTTATTACTAGGAATACAGTTCAATCCAGTAATTATTTACATGCCTATCACATAAAACAAAAAGCCAGACCCACTGGTATCAGAATTGACTATGGTAGAGTTTCCCACTCATGGTCATCATCCTTATATACAGAGTTCGTTTTTTTTTTTTTTATATACAGAGTTCTTGAGATTGTACATCTGTACGAAGTATATGGCCTCATCTTTCGCCTAGTATAAGCAGGTGGGTTTCAAATGCTGACCGTGGAGTGGCAGGCCAACCCCAAACCCATAGCTCCGCCAGGCCTATTATATATTTACTATAAAATAAATTTATTCTGTGACTTCACACGTTTTTTACATAGTAGAAAGTGTATGAAGTTTATTGAATAGCCTTTTCAGACTCTGAGTAGGACTCAAAAGCTTAACCTCACTCTGATTGTGTAGATTTCAACTCATAGTGACACTCCAGGGGCAGGCTAGAACTGTCTCTACGGATTTCTAGGACAGTAACTCTTTATCAGAGTGGAAAGCCCCATCTTTTGCCCACAAAGTGGTTGGGGATTTTGAATTGCTGATCTAATCGTTATCAGCCAAACTTGTAAACACTGTACCTTGAGTTTGAATGTTTATATAAGGATCTCTGTCCCAGGCTAGGGGATAGGTGGGAGATACTGTCCTATTCATGAACCTAAAGCTCATAAAAGTAAATAAATATATTCTATTTATATAAATGAAGTCTAAATATATTCAGATAATTCCAGTGTACATTGCTCTCAATGGTTAAACATTTCCTTGAATTTTCAAACTAAAAGCCTAGAGTTCAATAATGACTCTGTGTGATTTCATTAAAAATTACATTTTGACAGTTTCTCGGAAGGCCAACATTTCATAATTAATGAATGCTCATCCAAAAGGTTGACCTTCTGAGTGACAGGATAAGTGGAAACTGGGGGAGACAGTTTTGGCTTTGGACTATTTATTGAAGTCTAAGGCATGTTCTCGTTTGGAATGAAAGTAATTTTGGAACCGTGCCTAAAAAACTGACTCTATATGTGAAGATTTGAAAGCTCTTTTAAAGTAAAAATTCATGCTGCCTACTTTGTGGTATGCTATATTTAAAATAAGAGAAATTGTAAAACAGCTTCAACTGCCTTCATCATTCATGGCCTCCTTTAAAGATTCTTGAGATTGAACTCCCAGGCTATAAAAGCAAAACTTCCAGACGCTTGATAGAAATGGCCCTGGCATTCATTTTCAAGTTGAATCTATGGGGTCTCTACTGACAGATGGCTTTCTTTTATCTGAAATTGAGTAAGTTAATTCAGTTACACCGAGGTTCAGAGATCAAGATATCATAAGGAATATGATGGGGAAATTTTTTCAGAAAAACAACTTTGAATCAATCAGATTTGGATTTGAATTCCAGTTCTGACCCTTGATAGCTGATGGTCTCATGTTTTGAGAATGATGAGGGCAATGAATGTACAAATGCACTTTGCACAATTGATGTGTGTGTATGGATTGTGATAAGAGTTGTATGAGCCCCTAATAAAATGACTAATAAAAGAAAAAAAGGGAAAAAAAAGATAGAATGCACAGAATCTCTGCACCAAAGAGAAGTAGTCCACAGGCAGCATTTCAGAGGGAAAGTGTATGAACAAGACTCAATGGTACTGAAGAAGAAGTTTGAGTTGCAATGAAAGTGTCAACCAAAACCAAGGCTTCAGGAATCAGTGGGAAGCCAAATGAAATGCTTCGATGAGCTGATGAAGCACTGGAAGCACTCACTAGTCTGTGGCAGGAAAACAGGATTTAGACAACTGAGTGGAAGAGATCAATATTTATACCCATTCCAAAGAAATGTGACCCAACAGAACACTCAGATTATACAACATCATTGCTATCACATGCAAGGAACATTTTGCTGAAGACCATCCAGCAACAGTTGCAGAAGTACATTGACAGGGAGCTGCCAGAGGCTCAGGCCAGATTCAGAAGAGGAAGTGGAACAAGAAAATCATTGCTGATGTCAGATGGATCTTGGCTGAAAGCAGAGAATCCTATATAGATGTTTACTGGTGTTTTGTTGACTCTGCAAAGACTTTTGACTACGTGGATCATAACAAAGTATGGATAGTCTTTAGACAAAGGGAAATTCCAGAATACTTCATTGTGCTCATGTAGAACTTGTACAAGGATCATGAGTCAGTTGTGCAATTAGAACAAGAGAATACTGCATAGTTGAAAATCAGGAAAGGTTTGTGCCAGAGTTTTATCCTTTCAGTATACTTAATTAATCTGTATGCTAAGCAAACAATCAGAGAAACTGGATTGTATGAAGAATAATGTGGCATCAGATGGAGGCAGGCTCATTAACAAAATGGGATATGCAGATGACACCATTTTGCTTGCTGAATGTGACGAGGACTTGAAACACCTGCCAACGAAGATCAAGGAGTGCAGCCGTTAGTATGTATGTAACTCGTTGTGAAGAAGAACAAAACCCTCACCACTGGACCAATACAGAACCTCCTGATAAATGGAGAAAAGATTGACCCCAAGCTTAGTGTCTTGCTGAGATCCACAATCTATGCTCATAAGCAGAAGTCAAAAGGCATCAAGAAGTCAAAAGAGATCAAAAGACAATGGGTGTTGTGTAAATCTGCTGCACAAGTATTAGATCAATTAATGTGTGTAAATCAATTAGTGTTGTGTAAATCAAAAAGACAATTAGTGTTTGTTGTGCAAATCAATTAATGTTGTGTAAATCAAAAAGACAATTAGTGTTTGTTGTGCAAATTTGCTGCACAAGTATCTGAATACTTCAGAGTATTGAAGAGCAAGGATGTTCCTTTGAGGACTAAGGTGTGTCTGAGCAAAGCCATGGTATTTTCCATGGTCTCATAGGCATGTGAAAATTTGACATGCTATAAGGAAGGCGGAAGAAGAATAGGTGCACTTGAGTTTGGTGCTGGCGAGCAATATTAAAAGCCCCAGGGACCGCTCAAAGTACAAACAAAACGTCTTGGAAGAAGTATGTTTCCGAGTGCTCCTTAGAGGCATGGATGCTGAGACTTGATCTTACGTAATTCGGACACGCTGTCAGGAGAGACCAGTCCCTGGAGAAGGACATTGTGCTTGGTAAATCAGAGGGATGGCGGAAAGAGGACGGCCCCGACGGAGAGGAACTGACACAGTGGCTGCAACAATGGGCCAAGCACAGGAACAGTGGGGAGGACGTGCAGGACTGGGCCGTGTTCCCTTCTGTTGTGCAGAAGGTAGCTGTGGGTTGGAACTGACTTGATCGCAGCTAACAACAACGTTATTGGGATTGGAACCAATGACATGAGACAAATTGCGTATGAACTGTTGAATGTAAAATCAATTTGTTTCCTAAACATTCAAAATAAAAATGTACAATAAAAATTGTTTTAAGAGACTTGGGGATGGGTTACTGAGAGGAACAGAAAACTGATAAAACTGTGTGGCAATCTGTGGCTTTTTCATGAAGATAATTGCCTAAAAATTACTTTTAGTGTTTTTATTTCATCTATTCATTTATTTGTTCCTTAATTTGTTCAGTGAATCTTATTCAATGAAGATTATTTACAAAGCCACCTGTTAAGCTGGTATTATAAAGATGGATCTGTTACTGCATTTAACTTTTTTTTTTTCCTTAGCAGGTGGATGGGGGAGGGTAGAAACGTGTAAACACATTTAGAAGTAAGAAAACATGTTAAGCAATGTGAAAAAAAATTGTATGAAACTTAAGAGAAGCGAAGAATTAACTCCAGCCAGTGGCTGGTAATATGGGCAAATAAATAAGAATTTCCTGAAGAATATAGAAAGCGAATCATTTGAAAATCTGTAGAGTGGGCAGAAAGGGATTTGTGACAGAGAAAATAGCGTTAACAGATTGAAAGGAGCAGGAATTGAGATGCAATTTGGATTGACTGGGAAATTGGGATTACAAAGGAAAAGAATAAGAAAAAACATTAGAAAGGATAGAGCCAGGGTAAGAGTCTGGGTTTTATTTCCTTGGTAAGAACAAGCCATTGGAGGAGTTTTTGAAGAAGGGTAGAAGGAAGTTGTAATTCAGGATGATGATTCTTGAAGAATACTTGTGTGTGGCGATAGTATTATGACATTTTATGGTTTACCAAAGGACTCTCCTAATTGATGTCGCTTTCTTATCGAGGCTGCTGATGTGCTGCTGCAACATGGAGCTAACGTCAATGGTCAAGATGCCGTTTTTTAACCCCACTGCACATTGCAGCGTACTATGGCCACAAACAGGAAAGTCAGACAGATGGATTCTTGAAGGTTAGGAGTCTGCTCCAATGTTCTAGGCTTTTGTTAAAACTGTTCTAACTTCAAATAAAACACAGTTAAGACATCCTTATGCTTTCCTAAATTCTCATCAGTCTTGACTTTCAAGAGTTTGTAGGTCCATAGAAATAGTTTAGCTACCATATTAATCATGTTTTACTGAGAGGTTACTATGCAAGGGAGTCAGTAGAGTCCATTGGTGTGTGACCACAGGACCTGGTGAGCCTCAATGTGAAGATGTCCAGCTTTATGACTATCTGCTATATAGTTTCTCAGATCTTCAGTTTCTTAATCTATAAAGCTCGGAAATATTAATAGTATTTACTTTATCTATTTGCTGCTATGATAAGATAATACTTCAAAGTATTTGTCAAATACTCAATAAGTGTCTGTGTGATGACGCTAGCGCAAACAATAAAACAAGTCATAAAGTCCCTAGCAACAGTTCCTGGGGGAGAAAAGTGCCATTCAGAAGCTTTGTTTCCTGTTTCCACTGTCAAGGGATGTAGTAGGCTGAATAACAGCCCCTGAAAAGTGTTCATATGCTAATCCCTGGCTTTGGTGAATGTTGCCTTCTATGGTAAAAGAGATTTTACAAACAAGATTAGATTAATGCTTGAAATGGGGAGATTATCCTGGGCTTTGTCATCACAGTCTTGTAAGAGGGAGGGAGCAAATCAAAGTAGTAAGAGGAGTCCGTATGGAAGCAAGAAGTTGGAGTGACCATAGGAGAGGCCAGAAATGAATAACTGCAGACAGTACAGAAACTGTAACGAGAACAGTAATGGAAACCTCAATATGTTCTTGACAGCACCTTGATTTTTCCCTTTGACCTTCAGAACTGTAAGAGAATAAATTTGTGTTATTTTAAGCACTGAGTTTGTGATGACATGTGACAGTGGCAAGAGGACACAAATAAATGTCAAATAACCTAGATACATAATAGCAAATGTGCTTTGATGGGATGTTCTTGTTGTTGCTAGGAGTCATTGGGTTGGTTCTGACTCATAGCAACTCCATGTGCAGCAGAACTAAGCACCGACCTCACAATCGTTGTTATGTTTGAGCCCATTGCTGCAGCCTGTGTCAATCCGTCTCCTCGGAGGTCTGCCTCTTTGTGCCTGTCCTACTGAACCAAACATGATGTCCCTTCCCAAAGACTGGTCTCTCCTGATAATATGTCCAAAGTATGCAAGACAAAGTATCTTTACTTCTACTGAGCATCCTGGTTGTGCTTCTTCCCAAACAAATGTTTGTTCTTTTGGCAGTCCAAATTACTTTCAATATTGTTTGCCAGCAACACAATCCAAATGCATTGATTGTTCGTTGTTCTTCTTATTCAATGTCCAACTTTCACATGCTTATGAGGTGATTGAAAATATGGCTTATATCAGGCACCACTTAATCCTCATAGTGAAATCCTTGTTCTTCAAGACTTCAAAGAGATCTTGTGCAGCAGATTTACACAATGCCATGGGTGTTTTGATTCCTTGACTGCTGTTTCCATAAGCATCAATTATAGAACTAAGCAAGATAAAATCCTTCACAGTTTCCATCTTTTCTCCATTTATCATGATGCTCCCTATCAGTTGTGAGGATTTTCGTGTAGAGTTTCAATTAGTATTGAAAGCTGCATTTCTGAATCTTAATCAGCAAGTGTTTCCAGCCCTCCTTACTTCCAGCAAGCAAGATTGTGGCATCTGCATATCACAGTTTGTTAATAGACTTTCCTCAAATCCTGAAGCCTATATCTTCTTAATATAATTCAGCTTCTCTGATTATTGGGCTTGCACACAGATTGAGTAATTATGGTGAAATCCTAATTCAGACATTTCCTGATTTTACATCATTATATTCTTTCCTTTAAACCAAGATCTATCGATGTCGGCAATAATACCCATTGTTCAATGTTCTCTTCTGAGTCTGGCATGAATTTCTGGCAACTCCCTGTCAATATACTATGCACCTTTTTTGAATAATCCTGAGCAAAATTGTATTTGCATGTGATATTAATGTTATTTTTGGAATGTTCAGAATTCTATGGGATCCATTTCTTTGAAATATGTACAAATATGAATCTCTTCCAATCAGTTGCCCAGGTAGCTGGCTTCCAGATAGCTTGGATAGAATATTCAAACATTTCAAATGGTCTTCTGTCAATCCCTAGAGCCTTGCTTTTCAGGACTGCCTTCGGCACAGCTTGGACTTCTCCTTCAGTACCATTGGTTCTTGATAATATGCTATTTCTTGAAATGTAAATTTTGAATAATTCTTTTTAAGGAACAATCGCTGGAAAATGTGACCTTCCTTATAGGAATGAAGCTGAAGACGGCATTATAGAATTATAGATATAACTTCTTTCAACAACACAAACATCAACTATACACATAAATTTCTCCAGAGAGAGTCCACAGAAATCTAATCAAGGACATCTGTGAGAGGAGACCAGGGAGAAGCTTCATAGTATCAGCCAAAGTGAGACCAGGGGCTGAGTGTGAAAAAGACCAGCAATTGTTCATATGTAAGTTCAAGCAGGCACTGAAGTTAAAACTTCAATGTGATTTTGTCCCTTAATTTTTCCATAATTCTAGCTTCTATCAGCTCCATCTTACCAATTATACACATGAATCTCAGACCAAGTAGAAAGCATATGAAGGTTACACAACTACTCATTAAAGAACTGGCGTATGTGCCAGCAATTTGCAAAAGTCTTCAGAAAGCCTATGTTCATTTTGAAGTATCAGAGCCTCATCTTATTCCTTTTCGATCTGTGACAAAAATAATGTAACGCAGGTAATTTGTCTACATGACTCGGGCAATATTCAAAATCAGGAATTTTCAACTTCAAAGTGCACTGTTTTTCAACCTTAACTTATCATAGGACTTTTTTTTAAATTCAACTTCATCATTTATTTTTTTGCTGAAAAAGTGCATCCCAAAGGATTTTTAAAAAATAATTTTATTGGGGGCTCATGCAACTCTTATCACAATACATACATACATCCTTTGTGTCAAGCACATTTGTACATTTGTTGCCATCATCATTCTCAAAACATTTGCTTTCTACTTGAGCCCTTGATATCAGCTCCTCATTTCCCCC